TAAAATGTGGTTTAATGAATAAAATACGAAATATATACACAATACACCAACTTGCACATACACAGATAAATGCATGCACATACACACATCCCTAAAAGAACAGATTCCATTTTTGGAAGGCAGCTATGCTTACCACTATACCACCAATGCCTTCAAGATTCCAAGATTTTTGATTTGGAAGTGCCTGTACTCTGAATATGAGATGCACACCTCAGGAAGCACTCACATCTCCTATGTTGCTTTCTTTGTTTTGTAATTGTCACCACATTTCTTGGAAATTCTTGCTTTGCAGCCTTGCAATATCAAGAAAATCCACCTCTGATCATGTCAGGATTACAAATCAGACTTGAATATCACAAAATGTTTACTTGTCTGCTCCTCTCTCACTCTGCCACTGCACACGCACAAATAAAAATTTTCACTCATTCAACCATATACTTTCTTAAGCAGTCTGTGTGTAAAATGAATGGAGCTTCATGAGGCCAATCATGTGAGAGTTGGAAATCAGAAAAGTGAGATTATAGTGAGAATTTTTTGAGTTCTTTCCTTCTATTGTCCATAGTTTGTTTTGTGATGTGATGGCAGGTGGAAAGGGAGAAGATGCTAAGAAAATATATGTGCAAAAAACTTAAGTTTATGGTCAAAGCATGCTTTTTAAATTGTTTGCTATCAGAGATGCCATTGCTAATTCTGTAATTATCTATGCCATATTTCCCCAGGTCAGCAAAGTTTGCCTTGTTGTCTTTGGGTCTCAGTGGAAAAGGACTAGCAGTTTCTGGCCCTAGACTAAAGCTTATTTAAATCAGTGATTCCAAACTTTAAGTTTATGACACCGTTTTAATTTTGCAACATCAGTGCTTTAAGATTTCAAGATATTCATGCTGTTACTTTTATTGCACAATTCCCCTTAGGAAATTTTAGAGGGATAAGTGTCTACCTATTTAAAAAAAAAAAAAAAATCAGTTTGTAATCTGCTGCTGCAGCCATATCTATAGTAGAGCACAGCATTAATTTTCACTTTATTTGGAAATATAAAAATTGCATATGTTTTGTGGTCTCCATTTATGTAATCAACATTGAGGAAGGATAGTATAATATTATTTTCTGGGTTTCAGTGTGAATATAGCTCTTTTACTTTGAATACTTTAAGGATTGAGTGATTTTAGTCTAGGAAACAACTTCTACCTCTCTAGCAGAAACACTACTGTTAATTGTACTTACCTATCAATGTGACTAACTTCATAAAAGCTAGTACATAGAATTTAATATGTGTCAGACTACAAAATATATACAGCTTTTATATTTCCAAATAAAAGTTTAATACTGTGTTCTACTGTAAATGCAGTTAAGGCAGACAATTTCACACTGACTTTTTTAAAAATCATACAGACACAATCCAAGACTATCTATAAAAGAATTGAGTATATATGTTCTAAGTACCTATCACATATTAACTCAGTTAACACTCACAGTATTACATGTATTTTTATAGACAAGCAAACTGAGGCCCAGAGATGTTAAGTAGCTTCCTAAGATTAGAGATGAATCTTCTTCATCCTCTCTATACCATGTTTCTTTTTCCTTTGCAGGGTTTTACAAGGTATAGTGTGTGGCTAGTCCAGTGGCCATGCCAGGATAGCAAGCCCAGCATTCTGCCTTCTAAGTCTGTGTACTTCATAATCAAAACTGTAGTCTCCTAATTCAGTTATTTATGTGTTTCTATCCTTTATCACAGAGTTCACTAGAATTTATTTAATATTAATAATGTACATTTTTTCTTATACAACTTTTACTAAAAGTTTAACAAATTTTTTCTTATACAACTTTTACTAAAAACTTACTATTTTAGTAAAATTTGATAATTTCTTTTTAGAATTGTTTTTCTTGTGTACATATGTTCAAAGACCTGACACAGTTAACTCATCACAAAGTAGTAACTCACTGAACAGTCCTTCTAGATATCATCAACACTTTGTCAAAGGTGATCCAGTTTTCTCAGTTGTGGGTAGTTTTTCCTATAACATTGTTTCATCTAGACCAGGTGTCCTCAAACTATGGCCCAGGGGCCACATGTGAGTGTTTTTGCCCGTTTGTTTTTTTATTTCAAAATAAGATATGTGCAGTGTGCATAGGAATTTGTTCATTAACTATAGTCTGGCCCTCCAAATGTCTGAGGGACAGTGAACTGGCCCCCTGTTGAAAGTCTGAGGACCCCTGATCTAGACAGTAACAAGAAGCATATCCGTTTTTTATTACTTTCATTTCCTCTCCCCCAGAATGTCACAGGAAATTTTAAACATTGCCAATAACAATTTTATTAATAAATAGAAGACACTTATAATTCTTTTATGTGTCAAAAGAGTTTAATGTGGTTTTATAAATTGAGTTTGTTGTAAATCTTCAGAGTATAAGAGCTAAATAAGAGCTAAAACTTCCAGTACTCTACATAGATTAATATAAAAGCTCAATCTTCCAGTATGCTACATATAGTAATAGATTATCCTCTACAATAAATTATATTATCAGGTAACTGCATCTAAACTCTAGAAGGAATTATTATATAAATCTGTAAGGTCAGGAAGCAGTTTCTGGTTTTAGATGTATCTTGTTGATTAGATGTCTTCTTAAATTATGTTTTTAAAATTTTATACTTTAATTTTGTTTTTAGGTTAATAAAGAGTTTTGTGAAAGGTTACCATCTGAATGCTGTATATGTCTGTCATTGTCAAGTACACTACCTGTGTTCTTTTATCACCAATGAATTTTTTGGTCATATCTATGTAATGTACAGTATGTCCCAAAAGTCTCCAAAGGAAAAATTCTGTAAAATTTTGTAATGAATATTTTGTAAATAAAGGTACATTTAGCTACAAATTCCCATTTTCCCTATGTTTGGTGATTTTTGGGACACCCTGTATATTAAATGTATATCAGCACAAAACTATACCCTAGGCATATGATTTTAAAGAATGGATGCCGGAGTTTGAACACAAGTATTTTCACAAAGATTACATCAAGATTTGTTAGAGTTGTAAACTATAATTCAAAAAGGAACACTTTACCTTATAAAATAAAGAAAAAAAAAAAAACAAGGTATAAAGATGATGAAGATTCTTCATTAGAAGCAAAGAATTCCAAATATAAATGTGCTTATTACATAGGTAATAACTTTTGTTTTCATAGCTCATCTACATTATCCTAACATTGAGGACTTTAACCAACTTTTATATTCAGCTGATTATAAATGAATTTATTCCTGACATAATCCTTTACATACTCCATTGTAGGCATAGCTCTGAGCCAACATCAATAACAGTTTCAAGATTAAATTTAAAAAGTTATATATTTAATTCATTCTGTGAGAAATTTCATAGAATTAGGTTCAATATTAACAATATTTCTAAGGATATTAGACATTTTTGTAATTTCTATTTTGTTTTCTGTTTAGTTTAACAAGGCAGTACTCCTTTTGCAATTTTACACTAGATTCAGACTCTTATGAGACTTGTTCTTTCACTCTATTTAAAAATTATTAAAAATTACTATTTTCATAGCTATTTGCCTCAGAGGTATATGTTCATAATAGAGGTATATTTTCCATTGTAGAAATTCATAGCAGTGATGAGAAAGTCTCCCAGTGTGTTAAAAAGATAAGATTTTGTGGGAATTCTACACTGGAACATTTCTCCTGATTAAAGGGTCAAAGACTGAGTCTGCTCTTGGTGCTAATAGAACCAAATCACCTGCAATTGATCATTTAACAGTTTAGAAAGTCAAACCAACTTAAGGTCTTCCTTTATATAATGAGTGGTTTGAAAGCAAAATTTTTTCTTAAACAATTAAAATTCAGACCTGATATTTGGTCCAAATTAGGTTTTAACACATTGAAAGCTTCTCATTGAAGCATGCAGTCAAAATAAAACTATTTCCTAAACCGTACAGCTTTACTCAGTTTATTGATAGTATAGAAACATTTAACTGGCAGATGTGAAGCCCTTCACTAGGCACACCAATTTCTTTGCGTTAACTTTCCTTTATTGTTACACTTTCCTTATTAATCACTCTGATCGTAAAAATGCCATGATTTGGGAAAAATGAAACCCTGTTATAGGAAATCACTGCTATGAGTCCAACCCAAACCACTATCAATTTTCTTACTGGTACACCTGCTTCCACTTTTATGTAGCTAACGATTGTATGCACCATGAAGTTAAGAGGATACATTGAAGACAAACTGCATGGGTTTCAATCCTGGCTCTGCCATAGTCGTATGGCCAGTTCCTCAAAGTGCTGTGAAATCCTAAATAAAAAGTCTTCATTTATACAGCAACAAGAACAACCCTCATTAACCAGATTGCTATAGCATACTCCCAACACACATATGCTCATTCATTAGTCCCTTGCCCCATTTTTTCTTTATAGCACTTTTCACCACTGACATTATATGGTTTATTGTCTTTCTCTCCAAACTGGAATGTAGCTCCCAAGCACAAGGATTTCATTTTGGTCACTCCTGTAGTCTTCAGCACCTAGAACATCACCTGGCATTGGTAGTGCTTAGTAAATATTTGCTGGATAAATTCTGCACTAAAAAACATAATTTCTTCTTCCGAGGACTGTTGAGAACTTTAACTTACTATACTTTTTTTTTTTTCCATAATATGAACGTCAGCTAACATTTCCTACTCTAATCCTTTCTTGATCCTGGTTTTCTCATTAGGCCACCACTCACTTTAGAAGGATGAAATTTTTACTTTTAGAAAGAAACATAAAGTTCTTATTGCAAAGTACAGGATAAACAAGCACAACAAAAATGCTGACATTGTTTTCAAAGGGAAGTGTTAAGTACTATGTAAACTAAATTCTAGATGAAACAGCCATGTTTTTCTAACATTCAGTTTTTAACACATCTACTTATAAAGGTCTGTGATTTCATATTAAATGATGAATGGGTACTACTTTATGATTATACAATTAAGTTTTTCTTTTTTCTTTTGCAGGTTAATGACACCAGAGAGTGAGATCAGATTTGTCCATAAGGAGATGGGTATAATACCAAGCTGGGGTGGCACTACCCGGCTGGTTGAAATAATTGGCAGTAGACAAGCTCTCAAAGTGTTAAGTGGGGCCCTCAAACTGGATTCAAAAAAAGCTCTAAACATAGGAATGGTCGAAGATGTCTTGCAATCTTCAGATGAAACTAAATCTCTAGAAGAGGCTCAAGAGTGGCTACAGCAATTTGTCCAAGGGCCACCAGAAGTAATTAGAGCTTTGAAAAAATCTGTTTGTTCAGGCAAAGAGCTATATTTAGAGGAGGCATTACAGGATGAAAGAGATCTTTTAGGAAAACTTTGGGGTGGACCTATAAATTTAGAGGCTGTTGCTAAGAAAGGAAAATTTAATAAATAGTTTTTAAAAATGTGGACAAACTATAAAGCTCCAACAATATGTATTAAATGATATTAAATGTGAACATTAGAACTACTTTGAAGGCTATTACTAATATTCTAATTTGTTTTTAATATTTTACATTTTCTTCTAAAATTTTTATGGTTTCATGTCTTAGGTTTAAGTCTGCTATTGATCTTGAATTAATTTTAGTGAGTGGTGAGAGATAAGGATCCTCTTTCAATCTTCCACAAGTGCCTATACAATTCTCCCAGTACCAAATATTAAATAGGGATTATTTTCCCCAGTGTAAATTGTTGTCTGCTTTGTCAAAGATCAGAAGGCAATATGTGGATGATTTTATATTTGGGTTCTCTGGTCTGTTTATTGGTCTATGTCTCTATTTTTGTGCCATTACCAGGCTGTTCTGGTTACCATACCCTTGTAGTATTTATAGCTTAAAGTCTGGTAGAGTGAGGCCTCCAGATTTGTTCCTTTTGCTTAAGTTTGTTTTGGCTATTCAGGCTCTTTTCTTGTTCCAAATGAAGCATAGAATTATTTTTTCTAGATCTGCAAAAATGATGTTGGTATTTTGATGGGGAATGCATTGAATGTGTAAATCATTTTGTATGAACATTTTAATGATGTTGATTCTGCCAATCCATGAGCATGTGTTTTTCCATTTATTTACATCCTCTGTGATTTCCTTTCTCAAGTGATTCTTAATTCCCCTTGTAGAGGTCTTTCATCTTCTTGGTTAAATATATTCCTAGATATTTTATTTTCTTTGTTGCTATTATGCAAGGTATCTTGTTTCTTGTATTCGATGTGATTTTCAACTTAATTGTTGTTGGTGTATAGAAATGCTACTGATTTTTATACATTGATTTTGTAACCTGAGACTTTGCTGAATTTATCACTTCAAGGAGTCTCTTGGCAGTCTTTCAGGTGTTCTAGATATAAGATCACATCATCAGCAAAGAATGATAGTTTGACCTCTTTTTTCCTCTATCCTATTTGGATACGCTTGATTTTTTTCTCTTGCCTGCTTGCTCTGGCAAGGACTTCTGGCACTATGCTGAATAAAAGTAGTGACAATGGGCAATCTTGTTTAGTTCCAGTTCTAAGTGGGAATGCTTTCAGTTTTTCCCCATTCAGTATGATGTTGGCTGTGGGTTTGTCATATATGGCTTTTATAATTTGGAGGTATGTTCCATCTATGCATATTTTGTTTAGAGTTCTTACCATAAGAGTACTGAATTTTGTCAAATGCTTTTTCTGCATCTGTTGAGATGATCATATGGTCTTTGTTTTTGCTTCTGCTTATGTGGTGAATCACATTTATGGATTTACATATGTTGAACCCTCCTTGCATCCCTGGGATGAAGCCTACTTGGTTGTGAAGGATTATTTTTTTTGATGTGCAGCTGAATTTGGTTAGAATTTTATTAAGAATTTTTGCACCTATATTCATAAGGGATATATTTTCCTTTTTTTGTTCTGTCCTTTCCTGGCTTTAGTATTAAGGTGATATTGGCTTCATAGAATGAGTTGGAGAGGATTGCTTCCTTCTCATTGTTATAAAATAATTTCCATAGTATGAGTACCATTTCTTCTCTGTAGGTCTAGTAAAATTTTGCTGTAAAACCATCTGGGGTCCAGGACTTTTTGTGTTGCAAGACTTTTTATTACTGCTTCAATTTCATTGCTTGATATTCATCTGTTCAGGAGTTCTGTTTCTTCCTGATTGAGGCTCGGGAGGTTGTGTTTCTCCAAGAATTTGTCCATTTTATCAACATTTTCAAAGACTCCAACGGCAATCACAACAACATCAAAAATAAATAAATAGGACTTTTAAAATTAAAAGGCTTTTGATAGATAACCTACAGAATGGGAGAAAATATTTGCATATTGTACATTTGATAGAGGGCTAATAACCAGAATCTACAAAGAACTCAAGCAAATCAGAAAGGAAAAAAATCAAACAACCCCATTAAAAAGTGGGCAAAAAACATAATGGAAGCTTTTCATAAGAATATAGACAAATGGCCAATAAATATATGAAAAAATGCTCAACGTCACTAATTATCAGGGAAATGCAAATCAAAACCACGATGAGATATTAGCTAACCCCAGTCAGAATGGTTTTTATAAAAATATCCCAAAACAATAGATACTGGCATGGATGGGGAGAGAAAGGAACAGTTATACACTGTTGGCAGGAAAAAAAAGAACTAAAAGTAGAACAGCCATTTGATCCAGCAATCCCACTACTGGGTATTTACCCAAAAGGAAAAAAAAAAGTCATTTTATCAAAAAGACAGTTGCACAAGAATGTTTATTGCAGCATACATAGTTCACAATTGCAAAGATATGGAATGAACCCAAGTGCCCATCAATTCATGAATGGATTAATAAAATGTGGTGTCTGTATACCATGGAGTACTACTCAGTCACACACACAAAATAATTAATACCTTTTGTAACAATCTGGATGGAAGTGGAGACCATTCTCCTAAGTGAAGTATTGCAAGAATGGAAAAAGAAACACTACATCTACTCACTATTAAATTGGAACTAACCAAAGAGTCCTCATGTACACAAATACGAAGTGAAGCTCAGTGGAAATCAAACAGGTGGCAGGGGGTATAAGGGGAAATGGGTGAAATCATACCTAACTTGTACAATGTACACTTATCTAGGAGACTGGCACACTTATAACTTTGTCTCAAGCAGTACAAAAGCAATCCACGTAACCATATTATTTGTACCCCTATAATATTCTGAAATAGAATTAAAAAAACCTAAAATAATAGGCAAAACAGTGCTTATATGTGAAACATATGTGGGAAAGTCATTTTAATGACGATTAAGGTTTTAATCACAAATAATATTAAGAAGCTTTATACACTTCCTGCGCTGTCAGAAATTAAAAGCAAGATCTCCATTCTCACAAATAGTGGGTAAGTTTTCTGAGCTTAGTTTCAGCAGCACATTTTAGACCAAGATGCAAGAAATTTCTATATTTCAAAATATATTTGTGCAATTGAGCTGTTTTTACCTAACCTTCAATTGAAAATGATTAATCTGCAATGTAATGACATGCTAAAAGGCAAATATCAAGAGAAGAACCTAATAAAATTTTGTAATTTTCTTTCCAAGCAATGAATATGCTCAATTAAAATCATATGGTCATGAACTGCAGTATTTAGCGGTGCCTATCTCTGTGAAAAGAATTTTCAAAGATGAAGTATGTAATATAATGCAAAATCTCATTACAGGTCAGCATTCACAGATGAACCGAAAATTTGATGATAGGGAACTGTAATAAGCTAAATGTCCCCTCCAAAGAATGCTATTTTTCTCATTAGTAGACTTGTACCACAAAAATTTGTACTCAATTATATTTTTAATATCTGAACTCATTGGCTTAGCTTTTCTTTTTTTTTTTAACCCAATACTCACTTGGGTATTTATTTACCAAATCTGGAACATCTGGCTAAAATATATGACTTTTGTCTTAAAAATTATTGCTATTGATGCCTATATTTCTGTAATAGTTTTTAGCTTCTAACCAAAGATCATTGTTTAAAAGGAAAAGCTTTACAGAAAACCTTTTCCTGGGGTTATTTTTCATAAAATTTTTGTCTTGCCCTTAGAAACAGAAAACACCTCACTCTATAAATTTTGAGCTTTATTTGCTCTTTTAATAATTAGTCTTCAATCTTAAATTATCTACTAAACAGTGATAGACATGATATAAAAAGTCAACTGATTCTACAAATTGGCCATTCATGTGTGTGACCTGGAATTTCCAAACTAGTAATAAATACTATTGTTAATGTAGTTTGAAAATAGAAACTACTCAAAGTGACTCATGATGCATCCTGCAACATAAATTTGCATTTTATATCAGATTTCTATTTTTTTCCTGATAAACTTAACCTTTTATAACCAGCTATCTTTTAAAAGCAAACGTAGGTTGAAGTATCTGAAGAATGGGAAAACAAACACCTGTACTCTCTAATAAACTGGAACTAACTGATGGGCATACATGTGCACAGAGAGAAAAGTCACTGGCTATCAAGTGGGGGGACAGCGGCAAAAACCTAGCTAATGGGTACACTGAACTCTATTCGGGTGATGGACACACTCATAGCCCTGACTCAAACATTACAAAAGCGATCCATGTAACAAAAACATTTGTACCCTGTTAATATTTTGAAATAAAAAAAAGTAAACATAAGAAAAATCCACACAACTTTTATGATCATACCAGAATACTTTTAAAAAACCATGTAAGTCAGACAAGTCCTAATTCTGACCTATCACAAGAGGTAAAAGATAAATTTCAAAGTAGTAACAGTTTTATTTGCTATTATAACATTCAATTCACATTTGAGTATCATAGTAAAAATAACCTGCATTATGCTTTATCAATATGATCCTACTATTCTGAGTTAGGAAAATATAGTAAGACAAACTCACATTACTTTTTTCCAGAGACAAATTGTAGATTCTCATGTTAACTCAATACTTCCTACCTTGCCATAGATATAAAAACTATATGATAAAAGTGGATTATGTGGTCTACAGCATTTTGTGTAATTTTGTGGTTTGCGAATGCTGTTTATGTGTCAACCATTTAATCCTGAGTGTTAGACCACTAATGAAGATAGGTAAGGAAAATATAAAATATTAATGGTATCAGCTATCTGAGAAACTTAAATACCACAGGCTTTATATTTATTTCTGTACACATTTATTCCATACATACTACTTATAAAATCTGCTTAAATATTCTCTATGAAGAAATCAAACTTTTCTGAGCAGGTGAGTATTTAAGCTGAATACACCAATTCAAACCACCATTTTTTTAAAGACCTTTGACCACAAATGTCAAAATGTTTCTATCCCCTTCCACACTCAAACAAGAGACAAATGAATTTTGATAAACTCTAGTATTTATTAAATTATAAATTTTGTAATCAAAAAGAAAAATGTGGATCAAGAGAAACCTTAGACTCTAAGGACTAGACAGCAAAGCCTATGGGAACGCCATGAAGTGTGTTACAAAGATTCTGAAACATAAGTTATTAGCTGTTTTCTTTACATTTCCATTTCAATAACTTTACTATAAAATAGTTGTTATTCATCTATTTTAAAATCTCAGATTCACATCTATTCTCATATTAAATTAAGCTTCCTGCTCATAATGATATCAAACATCTCATAGTTGCCAAATTTTAGTAATGGTTTTATACCAATCCATGCAGAAAAATAAGACACAATGCAAAAGTCAGATGAGGACCATTAATGCACAGATAAATACACACACATTGGCCAAAAGAACTAAAGAAATTAACAACAACAAAAAAAAACTATAAACAGACCTCAAGAAAACTGGGTTATTACTAAATGGCTGTCACTATTAACACGCAAATTCCTTACATTAAATAAATTTCTCTCAACAGAGACATGTTAGACATTTTAATTACAGGTCTATCCTTCCCACACCCCTTCCCACCCCAATTCCCAAAATGCACTACTAGGGATGAGTATAATGTTATGTGGGCAGAAATTTACAGATAACCCTTTCAACATTAAGTATGGAGTTGAAGGCTTTATTTAAACTTCAGTTACTGTGCACTGTCCATCAGGCCTTCTAGATCTGACACTGACACTCACTGTTCCACCCCCTGCTACTGACCGATCAGTTCCTGATCGATCAGGTACTATCTGATTTGCATTAGGAATCAGAAGTCTCTGTTGGGTCAAGGAGTGCTGTGCAACAACCGCAGATACATCCTCACTATCACTACTGGCATCTGATTCGGTTTCTTCGATGGAGGTGTCTGGTGCAGGTACCCTGCCTGAAGACGGTGATTCATGATCTTCTTCTCCTTCCCCCCTATGACTCCTTTCAGCTATGTTGTCTCCACTGAGTTGTAAATGAGCAAAAGAGTCTTCCAGAGAAGTGCTTGCATCAGGGGATGGGGTTGCGGGACTTGTTAACTGACCATCTACTGACGTGAGAGGCCTTACAACAGAAGACGACACTAGAGGCTGAACAGAAGCTCCACTCTGTGCTGATATACTGTCCGCTCCATCAGCAGAGCTCTCTCTTGCTAGGTTTACAGTATTAGCATCACAGTCTAGCCTAAGGCCAGCTACTCCCTTCTTTGGTATATCTATTATATCTCGCTTAATCTTCCTGCGACGTCCATGTTCATTTCTCCTATATTGAACCATATTTTCGAGATCAGCAACATATAAAAACCCAGCAATTAACATTTCAGTGTTCTTTTTACCTTTGGAAAAAGCATCTTCCAGCTCTCTACTAGTGCGCTCATCATACTGCCACCACCCATTTCTTCCTTCGTAATACCATGCATATTCACCATTTCCTCTACTTGCTGCCTTGAGTTCTTCAGGTGACAGCAGGGTTGGCTTGTCAAGAAAATCCTCAGGAATTTCTTGTCGACAAAGAGCACAGCGCTTTCCAAGCCAGGAAGCTCCCTTTACACACAGATAGCAGAAAACATGCTTACAGGGCAGACTGACCGGGTGAACACATGTTTGCAGACAAATGGCACATTCAGGGACGGTTAGAGAAGGTGTAGTATTAGAACAGGACTCATTTGCTTTCCTGTTCGTAGGAAGCATGTTTATTGAGTGATCAATTTCACCACAGCCAGCCATCCTAAGAAAAGAAGGACAAATACATAGCATATTAAAATCATGTTGTAATCCTTTCAATAGCTTATTAAGCAATTAAGAAAACACTTATTAAACACCTATTATATGCTTTAAATCCAAGTCACATCCTGGACAATGGGGAGCCAAAGATGAAAGTAGAGAAAAAAACTGTGTGTGTGTAGAAATCTTTTTGATCTGTGTTTGTGTGTCATCGGTTTTTACTTGCAGGGGGCAACAAAGCACACAAAAGTGAAGCAAAAACCCCCAAACTAAAAAAAACACAAGGTATAATATATTTTAAATAAATATACCATCTCTAGTCAGACACAGAATTTATAAAACAGAAACACAAAGATTTAAAAATGTACAATCCATTCTAGACTGACTTTACAATCAGTCTGGAAAGTAGTTTAAGAAACAGAAAACAGCTAAAATTAATTCAGATTATAATTACAGAAGGCAATTTTTATAGACTTTTAGGATATTACTATGGTAATTTTAGAAATATTACCATATATTAATATACTTTTGGTATGTGACAAATAGAACATTTGAAATTAAGACTAAGGCTGAAATCCTAGAAGTTCCCCATCTCTGCTATATACTAAAAATACTGGTTCATATAGGTGTTTCTGTCATACTTGACCATTTCCTCTGTGTAAAAAACTCTTCTATGGGTTTTTTGTAACCGTTGCCTTTTTCTATTTTTCTAAACCATATGTTCTTCTCACTATATTCTTTCAACATGATTTCATCTATTCTCATGGCTTCAATTATTACCTATATAACAGGTGACACACAAATTAGTATAACTAGCCCAGACTTCTCTTTTCAGCCATGGATCTATTTCTAAATTGCCTATTTTAAATATTTTCTATGATGTCTTGAACATAACAAAAACTGAACTCATGATCTGCCTGCTTCCTTCTTAGTAGCTCCCTAACCTTCCCACCTACCCTCCTCTGACCCTGTGACACCACTAACCCTCTGCTTATACAATCCAGAATCCAGCCTGGAAACAACCCTTCTCCTACCTCTCGCCATCCAAAACATTAGCAAGTAGTATCAATTTTATCTCCTAAATATCTCCTGAATCTGTCTATCCATCTCCTACCCTTCCCTAGCCACTAAGCACACACTGTTTATTAAGTTACTATGTGTGCCTTTTAACTAGTCAGCCACACACCCCTTGCTAAAAAAGTTGATTTTAAAATCTCTAACAGGATCTATACACCCTGCACGGTCTGGACCCTACCTCCCATGCCAGCCTCATTGCACATCAAACTTCCCCTTGATCAGTCTTCTAGCCACACTGGCTACCTGCTCCAGTAATAGCTTTTCTCTATATGTTACACTTCCTCCTTACCTCCTGCCTGCCACATGCCTCCCAGTGGGCAAACCACTACACCATGATTACATCAAATCACACTATTAACTTACTATCATGTGTTCCTCATTCCTTATCAGAATTGCAATGTTACACTTATTTATGTGTTCTTTGTTAATGTGCTTTTACAAAGGTGGGGAACAGGTCACTTTTGACTTATCTCTGCATTTTCATACAGGACCTGGCAGACAGAGAACACCCATATATTTGCCCTGAAGAGGAGGGAGAAAAAAAGACAGGATTTGTCAAATTGGATGTATCAAACTTAAACACTAACGTAAAACTTGATTTTGTGATTAAATTCAATAATCCAAGTAGAACGACCAGTAACACTTACTGGTTGTTATACTATCGTAAGTACTAAATAAACATTCATTGCCTTTACTTTATTTGAAGTCTCTTTCTCCCACCTTACTTTTTCCACATAGGATTATTCCCTGGCTCTTGTAAAATGCCTTGATGTCTAGGCAGCCATGACCTTCCCCTCCTCATTCCCTTGGTTTGAAAAATATTTCCTACTTTTTTTCAATTATTAAAATTCTACCATTTTTTTAAGGCCAAGCTAAAAGTTCTTCTGTTCACTTCATTCCATCAGATGGAATTAATTTCTTCCTCCTCTCAGTTCCAACAGCATTTTATTGTTACATCAATATGGCATCTGTCCTGCTGTTTATTAATTACATATGTGTCTCACTAGCTCCTAGACTATCTGACCTATAAGACTTTTTTTTTAATGTAGATAAATAAATGGATGGGACTGAATAAAGATACTATGTATTTGTCCCAATTATAAAGAAAAATCCTGTTATCTTTTTTCTTAATCAAATTCTCAACACTGAATAAGAATATTATACTTTTAATGGGAGGATATAATCAGAATATCATATTGGAAAAGTAGATAGTGGAAGTTTAATGTGTAACTGGGAAAATGTAAAATAGTATCTATCAGGGTGATTCTTTGGTCCAATAATTTAAACACTATAATCACTGAGACTTTAGAAGCCAATAAAATATTCACTGCATTTCTCATAAGTGACATCAAATTGCACAGTATTCAAATTAATTTGGAAAATAGAAATATGATGTTCACTGTGGGAAAATGTTACATCAATAATAGAATGAAGTTCAATATGGGCAAGTTGAAGGTACTGTAACTGTTTAAAGCATATTACACAAAGACTAAATGATAGGAAAGCACAACTAGTAAAACTGAGGATAAGACTGAATCAATATGAATAAAAAGCAATAACATACTAAATTTTTAAAATTCAATTATGGTATAAAGAAAATCCTTTATTTTAGTGAAAACAAGTTTTTAGTAACTAGTATTTTTATAACCCAGAAGTCTCTCTTATTTATAAAAGCTGATACACTATCTGCCTAGCTTGGTTATTTAAGTAAATTACTATGTAGAGAAAAGGTAGAATCTAGAGGACCTAACGATTGCGCCAGTTTTTTTTTTTTTTTTGAGACAGAGTCTCGCTTTGTTGCCCAGGCTAGAGTGAGTGCCGTGGCGTCAGCCTAGCTCACAGCAACCTCAAACTCCTGGGCTCGAGGGATCCTTCTGCCTCAGCCTCCCGGGTAGCTGGGACTACAGGCATGCGCCACCATGCCCGGCTAATTTTTTTATATATATATCAGTTGGCCAATTAATTTCTTTCTATTTATAGTAGAGACGGGGTCTCGCTCTTGCTCAGGCTGGTTTTGAACTCCTGACCTTGAGCAATCCGCCCGCCTCGGCCTCCCAAGAGCTAGGATTACAGGCGTGAGCCACAGCGCCCGGCCTTAAGCTTTCTATAAGCAAATTCCTCTGTCTTCAGTTTCACTTCTTATATTTTTCCCTTTGAGAAGACTTTTGGAAATCTACATTAACAAAAATTTAACATGAATGAAATTGTTAACTCAATATTAAGTATCTGTATGTCAACAGAAAATGCTTATTTTGTATAAATAAAACTAAATATGACAGATACTTGATTTATCATAGTTTATACCAGTGCACTTAATTTATTGCAGCTTTGGAAAAACCATGGTGCTACACTTACATTTCTATTACAGATCCCACAGACGCCTGCCACAAAAATAAAGCATCTTCTTCACCAGCAGCCAGCCAGTTAGCAGTATTTTCTCTTCCACTGCTAGTTCATTCTTGTTGCTGCAAAAGAAAACAATTCCAACATCAACTTCTCTACAAACTAAGATCAACTAAATTCGTCAATTATGTACAATCCTTGAACAAAATTCAGTGGCAAATTTTATCTTACAAGTGACAAAAAAAATCAAGACAAAGATGTCCGCTTTCACCACTGGTATTCAACACTACTGTAAGTTCTAACAGAGTGATTAGATTGGAAAAAGAAATAAAAGGCATACAAATCGGTAAGGAAGAAGTAAAACTATCTCTATTCTCTCTCTACAGAAAATCCCAAAAAAGCCATTAATAATAAACAAATTCAGCAAAGTTGCAGATTATAAATTCAACACATAAAAAAAATCAGTTGTGTTTTGATACACTAAGAGTTAACAATGCAAAGAGGAAATCAAGAAAGTAATTCCATTCATAATCATATCTAAAGGAATAAAACAGCTGGTAATCAACTTAACCAAGGAGGTGAAAGACTTGTACATTGAAAACTATAAAACATTACTGAAAGAAACTAAAGCAGAACTAAGTAAACAGACAACTTATGTTCATGGACTGGAAGACTTAACATGTTAAGACAACAATAATACCCAAAGTGATCTACAGATTCAATATAATTCCAATCAAAATTCTAACAATGTTTTTGTAGAAATAGAAAGATCAATCCTCAAATTCTTATGGAATTGCAAAGGGCCCCAAATAACTCAAACAATATTGAAAAAGAAAAAAGTTGAAGAACTCACACTTCCCAATGTCAAAATTTACTAAAAAGCTATGGTAATAAAGACAGTGTTGTAATGGCATTATGACAGACAAATACACCAATGGTATAGAATTGAGACTCCAAAAATAAACCCATATATCTATAGCCAACTGAGTTTTAAAAAGGGTGTCACAAGTCCATTAAATGGGGAAAGATCAGTCTCCAACAAATGCTACAACAGTTGGATTTCCACATGTAAAAGAATGAAGTCAGACCCCTACCTTACACCATATATAAAAAACTTAACTCAAAATAGATCAATGACCTAAATGTAAGAAGTAAAACCATGAAACTTTTAGAAGAAAACACAGGGGCAAATCTTCATGACCTTGGATTTGGCAATGGGTTCCTGGATTATGACATCAAAAGTACAAGAAACAAAACAAATGGATAACTGAACTTTATCAAAATTAAACACTTTTGTGCAACAAAAGAAATTTTCAAGAAAGTAAAAAGACAACCTACAGAATGAGAGAAAATGTGTGCAAATCACATATCTGATAAGGGTTTAATATCCAGCATATATAAAGAACTCCTACAACTCAACAAGAAAAAGACAACCCAATTAAATGTGAGCAAAGAACCTGAATAAACATTTCTCCAAAGACGATATATATATATGGCCAATATATATATATACATATATATATATATATATATATATATATATAGCCAATAAGCGCACAAAAAGATGCTGTGCTAAAGATGTATCTATTAGGAGGGCTATAACTTTTTTAAAAAGAGAAAAAGTGTTGGAAGGAAGCAGAGAAATTGGGCCTTTGAACACTGCTGGTGGGGATGTAAAATAGTGTAGCTGCTGTGGTTAACGATTTGGTGGTTCCCCCAAAAGTTAAACATATAATTACCACATAACCCAGCAATTCCACTCCTAGGTATATACTAACATTATACTAAGTGAAAGAAGCCAGACACAAAGAGACAAAGGCACAAGTGTTGTATGATTCTACTTAGATGAAATATCAAGAATAAGTAAATTCGTAGAAACTAGGGCCAGGAAAAGAGAATGGGGTGTTATTGCCTAATGGGTACAGTTTCTAATGATGAAAAAGTTGTGGAAATATTAGGTTATTAAGCATGAAATGTCCAATTTCCTTAAGCACTAAGTTTGACAGCTGATATTGCTGACATTTCACTTTGACATTTCTTGTTTTATTTTTACCATGAAGGTACATCCTCATTCTTTCAAATGCATGGTTTGCCTTGTGAATCTTTCAAATTCTTTTAAATTCTTTTTAGAGTAATTTTTGTGAAATCCCAGATAAGTCAAAACTTTGTGTTATTTTCAAACATGAGTTCTGTACTGAAACCAGTGCTGCACAGATAGCTCAAAATATCAACAAACTCTTTGGAAATTATGTGGCTAATGAATGCACAGTACACAGATGATTTGAGAAGTTCCATTACAGTGATCTGAATCTTGAAACTGAGCCACTTGGGCGACCTGAGACCAGGTGGATGACGAGCTGAAAGGTGTAGCGGAAGCAAATCCATCTCAACCTACACATGAATTAGCATCAAGGTTTTTTTTTAATTGAAGACAGAGTCTCACTCTTGTTGCCTGGGCTAGAGTGCTGTGGCGTCAGCCTAGCTCACAGCAACCTCAAACTCCTGGGCTCAAAGTGATCCTCCTGCCTCAGCCTCCCGAGTAGGACTTGGTACTACAGGCATGTGCCACCATGCCTGGCTAATTTTTTCTATATATTTTTAGTCGAGATGGGGTCTCGCTCTTGCTCAGGCTGGTCTCAAATCCCTAAGCTCAAACAATCTTCCAGCCTCGGCCTCCCAGAGTGCTAGGATTACAGGTGTGAGCCACCACGCCCGGTCAGCATCAAGGTTCTTGACATTACTATTCCAACAATATTGCACCATTGGAAACAAATGCACAGGGTAAAGAAGCTGGATAGATGAGTACCGCATGAATTAAATGAGCATCAGAAGACAAACTGTCTTGAAGCTTGCCTTTCTTTGCTGTCACGACATAAAGGCAAACCATTCCTACACCGTATTATTATGTGTGATGAGAAATGGATTCTTTTTGACAATCACAAGCTTTAAGCACAAAGGTTGGATAAAGATGAAGTGCTGAAACACAGTCCAAAACCGAACAGTCATCAAAAAAAGCTAATGGTGTCTGGTGGTCCAGCGCTGGTATTCTCCACTACAGCTTCATGAAATGTGGTCTATTGATTATAGCAGATGTCTACTGCAACTAATCGGATGAAATGCTGAGGATGCTTGTGATTAAGCAGCCAAGACTGGTCAACAGAGACACGCCAATCCTCTTGCAAGACAATGCACAACCACGTCACACAAGCAACACTGCTCAAACTATAGAGGCCGGACTTGGAAACTCTCTGTCATCCACCATATTTACCAGACCTTGCACCAATGACTACCATTTCTTCCAGGTGTTGGATCACTTCTTGCAAGGAAAAATATTCAATTCTCAACAAGCTGTGGAAAACACCTTTTGCGATTTCATCGTCACTTGATCTCCAGGCTTCTGGCTACTGACATACACAAACTACCATTAAGATGGCAAAATTGTGTCAATAGTTTAGGTGCATACTTTGATTAACTGTACTGCTTTTAGTTTGAGACATAATAAACTTAATTTTGATTCAAAATTGGACATTTCCTATTTAATAATCTATGGTGGTGATGGTTGCATAACATTGTAAATAAAATTAATCACAATGAATTGTACACTTAAAAATGATTAAAATGGTAAATTTTATGTTACTTATATTTTATCAAGCACCATTCAAAATACCATTTCAGTCATTAATCTTCTTTCTTCTCATTCAGTATTTCTTCCTTCTACTTTGCCATGCTCACTCCAGGAGGCACATACTACACAGAACTTACTTGGAATCAAGCACACATGACAACTAAAGAGATGACAGACCTCAAGGTAAAGACAAGATAGGAGAGACTTGAATCTTCTTTCAGTTCTATGTGCCTCTGTAGGCATCTTTCTAAGTGTAGGCATCTTTCTCCCTAAGGTATCTAAGAGTCTAGTGTTTAAAGATAAACATTTTTAATGCCATATGCGGCCTCTAAATACAAGCTGACTTATCCCACCAAATATTTAAGAGAATAATAATCTGTTTCAAAATCAGAGAACTTTCAACAGTAAGTGACTAAACAAGGTTTCTAAGTCACCTGGCTTTTTGTTTTACTCTGACTTTAGATGATACAGACCCATGTTCTGACTGTCCTCCCAACCTTTTCATTTTATCCTATAGGTTCCTACTACTTCAATGGTGTCACAGAAGACTTCATTCATTTCCCTCCTGCAGCCTACTCAAAACAGAAACTATATATCCCATACACTTCCTATCTGCAAGACAGAGGGGACATTCCACTGCTCTAATATCATTCCTTATTCTTTGTAATCTCTACCATTGGCCACAACATACTCCACAATCCAGTACAGCTGTTCTCATTCAACCTTTATACTGACTTCATCTTTTCACTACTGATCATTCTCTTCACTCTAACTTCTGACATCACTATGAGCCTATTTAAATATCCTTGAGAGTGAACCATCCAACCTCTATCTCAGAGGTGCCCAAACTTGCCCCAATGTCTGTTCATCAGAATCACTGAAGCTGCTTGTTAAAAATACACATTTTCAGGGTCTCACCCCTAGAGATTCTAAGCTACAGTAGACCTAAGCCCAGAAATCTCAGCCCAGGTGATACTGACACAAGTAGTCAATCATATACAATTTGATAAACACTGTCCTCAATTTTCAATTCCTAAAATCCTAAATTCAATCCTAAATTCATCTTTCCAGGAACAAAATATCACGGCCACATTTGGAACTGCCACCTAAAACTGCTGCTTCCATGAAATCTAAATTCCACTCTCAGATCACACACTCTGGTCCTTCCAGCTCACTCCCTCATTTCCACACCTGCTCTTTAATTTCATGGCGACTTCTGGTCTCTTGAAGCTTCCCTTTTCTTTATCCAGTTCCGGATCTCATTTCCCTTTTTGCCCAATCGGGAACCCAATCATTTTAACTTCCTTCTTAACAGAACCTTTGGCTGCCTCTAAACACACAATCCACAAACCCCCATTTCAGCATGATTCTTGCAGTATGCCATCTCAGCTTCAAGGCTTTAACAACTTAGTGTTAATGGAGAAAAAGAGAAAATCTTTTCTCACTACCCACCCACCTCCCCATACCCCGCCAAACAACCATACCAAATTCTGTCAA